GATTGAAGTACATCGATTAAAGTGAACTTTATCAAGCATCTTTTGATGGAAATCCTTTGTTTGAGTTAAAAGGCTCATCTTTTGACACTCCTACTCATGTGGATAACTAGAGTCATCTCGTTATCTTTCCTCTTGTAGCCTTCATTGTTTTTTTCTTATGATTTTCACCTTGTGTTACTTGTATAGCTGCTGGAACCTTTTATTTAAGTATCTATGAAAAGAGAATATGTGTAGTCATTGTGTTACTTTTGAACAAGGCAGTGTGGAATGGTGGTGTGTCCTATTCACATATAATTAGAAATTAAGGTTGAATTTGGCGGCCAACTGTTAATACAACATACGAACCTTAGAGTCAAGTTCTTGAGCTGAGCTTAGTGTGTTAACCTTGCTGTCTGTTAATGTTTACCTATCCCTTGAACATGCGTACTCAAGTTCTTGAGCTGAGCTTAGTGTGTTAACCATGCTGTCTGTTTATGTTTACCTATCCCTTGAACATGCTCACTCAAATAGATTTCGTTAAGAATTAGTATAGGCTGCTATAAGTTAAATTGTGAATTAGGGCTTAGTGAATGAACTATCCTTGTTGGCGCATTGGCTGCTTCAAGAAACTGCTTTCATTATCCGCTTTTCATTTTTCAATTTGACTCAGAATAACAGAGTTGGGTTCCTCTTGCCATAGTTTATTACTTTTACTAGTATAACATAACGATCTTAAGTCCTCTGTTACAACTGCAGTGCGCATAGTGATACCTATGGTCAAGCTGCTTCAACTTTAGTTGCTGGCACTAATCTTGAGCAGACTATTCAACAAATAATGGATTTGGGAGGTGGCAACTGGGACAGAGAAACAGTTGCATGTGCCCTACGAGCAGCTTATAACAATCCAGAGCGAGCAGTGGACTACTTGTACTCTGTATGTCTATTCTTAAACTTGTTGCTGTGAAGTTGATCCATTGTGTAGCTGCTGACATACTGTTCTTCAGAGTATTCCAGAAACAACAGAAGTTGCAGTTCCTGTAGGAAATTTCCCTGCAAGTCAGGCAACTGAGACAGGGGCAACCAATGCTGCTCCTGTCTCTGGAGCACCTAACTCTGCTCCTTTGAATATGTTTCCTCAGGTAAAACTCAGGCTTGTTGGATGTTTTTGTGCATTTATTGAGGCATTGTATCTGAACTGGAATCCTCCAGGAAACACTCTCTGGTGCTGGCGCTGGGGCACTTGGATCCCTCGACTTCCTTAGGAATAATCGGCAGGTAAACTTGTTGTCATAATATATCCAAGCTATGGTGTACATTTTGTATATTATAAACAATCACATAAACTTGATTGAACTTGTTGACAATTTTATTATTCGACCATGTTAACAATTGGCCTATATGTCTAATTTAGTCTTGCGGTGTCAATTTTGTCAGTCTCTCCTTTCGGTTTATGTTTGGTATCATAAACATAAACAAAAACACAAGGTTGAGGAGGACATTTTTCAAACCTCAGGATTAAATTTGACGTGTATGGAAAACCACAAATACCATTCTTAAGATTTGGAAATTTTGCTACGATAATGTGTATTTTGGTTCTTATGTATCGCAGAAATGTGCAGATAGGGTAGATGGGGCATGTAGTGAGGGGATGGTAGATAATTGTAAATTGATCCTATCTCTTTCTTTATATTCTTATTTATTCTTGTATTTTCAAAGAAGAAGAGGACATTAATCCTCTGTTGCAAGCAATGTTTGGCTAAGCTATGTCATCTTAATGGTTTGTATATATTCCCAATGCATCAAGTTGTACTCAGTTTGCTTGCCTTATTCACTTGTCGGTGCTGAAAGGTTTTTTTTTTTTACATTTTTCTTGTTTCCATCATAGTTCCAAGCACTGCGCTCAATGGTGCAAGCAAATCCACAAATTTTGCAGGTCTGCATTTGCTTTGCGTCGTTGACATTACATATTGTGATGGTTTCTTATAAATGTGTTAAATAGTTTCATGCTGCTTTTGTTACAGCCCATGCTGCAGGAGCTCGGAAAGCAAAACCCCCAGCTTTTAAGATTAATTCAGGAGCACCATACTGAGTTCCTTCAGTTAATAAATGAACCGCTTGAGGGTTCTGAAGGGTGAGTGTTGATAGATATGAATTTGGTACATTGTAGTCATAAACAGGGCCCGATAAAGTCTTCCCAGTTACATAATTGCTTGCTCATCAAGTACTTTTTCTCCACGCACGTATCTTCTAAGGCTCTGAGCCATCCCTTGGGTACTCTTCAGGGCTTGTTCAAGATAACCGGATCTTCACTGGTTTATGTTTCTAATAAGATATGATTGCCTTTTCAAAACCCTGCATTGAATTTATAGAACTTGTCAAAATCATGATTTGTCTTTTTATAAAATTGCTCCATCTTCCAGTGGCATATTTGATCAGCCTGACGGTCCTGACCAAGATATGCCTCATGCCATCAACGTAACCCCTGCCGAGCAGGAGGCCATTGAACGTGTATGTATTCTCTCTGTTCCTGACAACTGCTACATAATATTTTCGTATGTGCTGATTAGTTTGGCATTCTCTATTTCAGCTTGAGGCGATGGGATTTGACAGAGCGTTGGTCATTGAGGCTTTTCTGGCGTGCGATCGCAATGAGGAATTGGCAGCCAATTACCTATTGGAGAATGCTGGAGATTACGAGGATTGAATGATTGTCCTAAACACCCGGTTAAACTTTAACCCATTGGATTCAAATGTAACATTCTTTGCTCACTCCAGTTTTCTTTGGATGTTTTTTTCGCAAATGATACCTCATGGCATCCGATTTTCGGTAGCGTAATCGATGGCAACTGAAATTTATTTGTAATTTTTCAATTTTGTCAAAGGTCTCCTAATATGATTTCGTGTTGATACCAACTCTCCATTTGCTTCATTGTCTCTGCAACCATATCATCTCTCTCGTTCAAACCTCAAACTATGGGCATCTTACCTTCTTCCTTTCTCTCTCTCGCACTAGACAAAAAAAAACCGTCTCCTTCTCCTCCTCCTCTCCAGGAAGAAGGAAGTATCGTATGTTGTCCTCGGCAAACCTAATCCCATCCTGCAACCCCCATTTTTCAACCCCAACACCCAACCTCTTCCATCTTCCTTGTCGGCTCCTCCTCCTCACGTACCATCCCTCCCACAACCTTGTTTGTGTTTTTTTTGTTCTACTTCCAAGGGAACGCAATGGTGGGTTAGATCTACTAAAGGAGGCAAAAACTCGCATTCCCGGCAATCGTAAAGACCAAGCCTCCTTGAGCCATTATAATCCTGGATGATTAAAGTAGTTACATTTGGATTTGGTTGTAAGGCATTCAGTGCTCCTTCATCGCTTCCACCTGCCAAAGTCATAAGATGACATTGACAATTGAACAGTGCTTTCTTGGCATCATTCGCTGCCTTCTGAGACAAGTGTATAATGGAAAGACGCCCTTCAGGCTGGTCCAAGTTTTTCAGATCTTCTAACTTGAATCCTTCATTGTCTTGTCGGCATTACAAATGGCATGAAACTCATCTAATCTCCCGATCCCTATTGGCCTTAGAAGATAAGATTCCTCCACATGAAGACGCTTTAGCTTCATTAGCTTTCCCATGTCCTTGGGCTACTTTCTGAGATTTTTGCAATCAACCAGTCGCAACTTGCTCGAATTTTTGCTTTAGTATCACAGTGCTCCACTCATCCAACACGTCGTCCATCTCATACGATACTTCCTTCAGATCATCCGGCCAACGTCTCACATTGGCCTCCTTCACTTGTCTCTCCTCTGCGTCTTGAAGCAAATCTTGAATAGCTCTGAGATTGCGAGTGACACTTGCAACTTCTTTATTGACATTCGTAACAAGCCTCACCTCTTGTTCCACCTGCTGAAAAACGATAGAACCCAACTCTTCTACCAGAAAGGAAACGAATGCTTCAGCCATCCATTTTAGGGCTTAGGGTTTGTTGAGGCTTGAAATATATCTACAGTTGAAGAGGGAGAAAACAGTTGTATAGGCACTGCAAATGACACAATTAGGGAAGATGATATTTCTAGTGCTAGAGCTATTCCCCACAACCACCTTTATATGATGAGAATAAAGAATAATTGTAATGCAGATAAAGAATACTACACATGCGGTTAGCCATTACCAAGGAAAGGATTTTCCAAAAGATGGGAAGATTTATTCTCTTCTTGTTTGTTAACCTTCTTCCTTCCTTGCAATGCAAAGAGTTTGTGGCTCGGTTGGTTAAGAGCATTTACCCTGAATCCGAGGTCCTCAGTCAAATACCCCCTATATCGGATGTACAAAAATAAAAACTTGATTCCTTGCTTTTATTTTGCCTTTCAACTTCTTGTAACTTGTTCTTCTCTTCTTTCTCAATTTTCACTTCGAAACCAAAGAATCACTCACGTATACGAAGCATCCTCAAGCACATCTTAAACAACTTGAACATCACTCGAGTACAAAACCCTTTCTCCGCAGTTTTGATTAATTTAAAATAAGATATTGCTTCTATAAAATTTAAAAAAAAAGCACCCAGAACTCAAATTTGAAATCGCCAGACCATTTTATTATCATTGTGACCGTTCATTCTGTTAGAAACATTTGTGGTGCTTGTCTATTTCAAACAAAACCCTTTCCCGCAGCCCACAGTTCTGATTTGTTTAGAAATAAGATATTGCTTGTACAAAAATTGAAAAAAGAAAACTAAAAGCCAGCCGTGACTCAATATCTGAAATCATCGTGACCGTTCATTCTTTGGAAAAAGTGGTGCTGTTTGTCCATTTCGTATGTTATTGTTTGATGACTGAATGGGCATGTAACGATGATCCCTTCAAATAACTTGATGAGTCAATGCAATAATTGTGACACCATCTTGTAACTCAGGCAGCAAGAAGCAATCAAGTCTAGCGTCTTCTAACATCCTGCGAAAAGGAGGGCATTCGGGTTGTACTCGAACCACATAGATACAGGTGCAGAATATAAAACACACAGGATGGTTTCGGGATATCGAAAGAAAACGATTTCAAGCTCAATAACATGTATTTTTTCCGACATGATTTGGTTATTCTAAAAGTCAAACACAAACCATTCTATTCAGAGTTGATGGTTACTTTAAAGTACAATACAAGTAGCATACACACAATACATATACTTAATACGTCAATGGGCAAACCCTTTTTTCTCTCGTTTGGTGGCGTCGGGGTTCAGAATTCCCTCTCGGGGAACAGAATAGGAGCCAAAAGAGACCAGATGTACAGACCTGCAGTTGCCCAACTAGTCACCATCCTCACCCACACAGATGGCCACCCAACATCCACCAACTTCCCGCTCTCCCCAACTGAGGCTGACCACCCTGTCAGAAGCATGGCCGAGTACATACTAGCAAGAGAGAAGATGATGTGGAAAAACGAATATGAATATGACACTGGCTTGGACTTCTCTTTTTCTTCGTGTTCATCAACCTTGTCTAATGGAAGCAGAGGCTTTCCAGCACCTTTGCCCAAAAATAAATAATAAAAGGTGCATTAGTTTTTTGCATAGGAAAACTGGATAGCCTCAGTGCAACCAAACATCAAATAAAATGGTTCAAGAAACAACCTCAACATAACCAACCATTGGAAAGGACAGTTTAACCACATTTTTCTCATATAGTAATAGTATAGAAAAAGGAAACTGTTATTAGCACTTCAAAATCTCATAGTGCACTCCAAAGTCCAAACTTTCTATATTTAGAGAAAGAAAAATACACTTATGAGGAGTGTACAATGAGATTTTTGGAGTGCCAATAATAGCACCCTATTGAAACAAACCAAGAGTTCTAAATGTTCCTCAGAGAACTACCTGAGCGAGGAGAACTTGGTGGGGAGAGAAGAGTTGTGGAAGATCCAGCACGAACAGCAGAATAAACCACAGAAAGAACAGTGGTTAGCAACCCAAAGGTAAGGGTCCCGGTGGAAACAGCTTTGGAGTGCTTGTGAAGACCATTGCACTCATAGTCCCTAGGTTCACTGGCAAGTGCACTGTAGCAGAGGTACGTGCAGTACATAGATATAACTGACGCGGGCAAAATGCTGCCACTTACCTGTATAACATTAAAATCATAATTAATCACAGTACTATTCATAACAAAATTTACTCCACAGTATAAATATGCCAAGCAGTATATACTCTTTAAGTTAACTGGATCTAAGATGGAGAAATGTGTTGCTCTAGTCAGAATGCAGGGGGGAAAAATAATAAATTGAATCAAGCTCTCATCACCATAACCTGGAGAGTGATATTCTTCTGGTTTTGACCCAATTATTATGTTATCTACAGAACATGCTTAAATAAGTGTCAATTTATCATATAATTTCGAGTTTTAATTGCTTTTTTTTTTTGCGCAATCTTAAGGAAATAGAATAGGATGTTTCCTCCTGAAAAAAAAATAAAATAAGACAACGGTGGATTTTATTGGCTCTGTGCTCTGTAATTCTGGTCTATCACTGAATCTATAACTAGTCTCTCTGCACATAAAGACAGTAACAATAATGCAACGATCTCACAACCTTATACAAGTTTTGTTAGTCCTTTTTAATTTTTTTCAGTTGTATCTTTGCATGAATGTATCATACAACTGTGGGGCCTGCTTTCTTCTTTTCCTGTTCCTTTCTTGATAACCAATTATCATTGGCTACAATAGTATGACAATAAAAGTAAAAACATGCATATTTACGAACTTACCGAAGGATGCAGTGCCACTATAAGAAACCCGAAGACACACATGAGAGTCATGACAATAAAGAAGGTGTTGAGCCCGCAGTCTTGTCCAGATGGTGTGAACCAATGGAAAAGAAGTCCAGAGAAGACGAATGTTGCCAGATAACAAACAAGAGAAACAACAAAAAGTGCAATGTACCTATATATAGCGAGGAAGATACAAGTTAAAATCAGTTAAAGATGTAGAAATGTGAATTTGAATAATAGATACTAAAGAAAATAATACACGAACCAGAACTTCTCATCATATCCAACCCATTTGTCATTCCATCCATGAACAAAATCCAACAGAAGTACAACTTGTACAAGAAGAAAAAATCCTGAGCCAAACTTGGAAATTGTCTCTGCAAACATGATACTTCACTGTCAAATTTAGTCAAACAATTGAAAAGATTTTCCACAGCAGGATAACAGATTAATCCAAATGCTATTGATACTTCATAAAGAATACTCTGCACTCCTCCCTTACGAAAACATATGAGATAAATTTACTTGAAGGAGTACAGTTAGCCTTCAGATATTATTTTAATCTCAAATAGTGGTCCAATCTTCTCTCATTTTCCTTGCATAACAGATCATGGTCAAAAAGCTTTTCTTTCACCAGATTACTCTAACAAAATCATGACAATTGTCCAGTTGCCTTAAAAGCTTGAATGTGCTCTAACCAAGGTACATTTAATTAACCAAAAAATTAAGAGTGATCTGACAGAGAACCAAAAAACTAATCATTCCACAGAAAAATATGGAACAATTGCGGAGTTATAACTTAAATATTACTCTCTAAGTTCAACCTACGTAAGCCCATAATTAAGTTCTTCAATGTTTAAAGCCATTTAGATTTAGCAATCTAACTATTTTTCAAGAGTCAAATTAATACTGAAAACTTAAAACAATGACTACATTCTAACATCAGAATTAAAACTTTAATATAGGACTAACTGCATTCAATTTAATCATTAAGCAATGGGTTCCACAGACACTTCTTGTAGGTTCAAAATTTGTGATTGTTAATTGGGGCAAGACTTGGCGCAAAACCGAGTGCAGTGGTGTTTTAGGATTCATACAACCAACCCCGCTTAGGCGGGTAAGACTTTGTTGTTGTTGTTAATCAGGGCAAGAAATGCCAATTGCGTATTAATTCCAGCGCTTGGGACTATTCAAAGAAAAAAAAGTGGAAATTTCATTCACTATGAAAACAAAACCCTGATGGTTAGTAGTGTTTACCATAGAAGCTAACAATCTCATTTGGTACGAAAAACATGAAGATCACCAAAAGACACCAGCATATAACTTTCATCATCCATCCACCATGATGCAAACTATCACGGGGATCCTTCTGATTCTTCACACCAACCATCATAACTGATAAAATAGTGAAGAAGAGAAAATTCCCCAAGCTAACACGAAGCACTGCATCTGTTTCGAACCACTCCCTGTTATGTGTCTCATTAAACTGAGAAATCCCTGCATCAACAACCAATATGAGACTAGCGTCACATCCAACCAAGTTGAATTAAAATTAGCCGATGAAATATAATTGTTCTCGTCACCTAGTTGTAGTCAAACTTCCACGGGAAGGTAAGATTCTTCACTCATTTGATGATACTCTATTATGATTTTCTTATAAAGCATTACAATACATTCAAAACAAGTGTACAGAATACAAGTAGATAACATAACACCACAGACTAATATTGGAATGATGGAAGAGGTGGCTTACAGGGAATCTTTTCCAGGAGAGGAGCAGCAACCTCGCGGAGAATTTATGAGACGATCAAAGAAAGCGCAAAGAGCCCACAGTATGCAATCCTAGCAGACCGACGGCTAATACTTGACACCACCGTCCTGCAAGCATCGCAAGCGCAAGCAGCGCAGCATGATGCCAGGCACGAAGCTGCCCACATCTTCTTCTTTCACACTTCACCGTCTATTCAATCTCTAATAAGCAAACTAATCAACAAAATCAAAAACTTGTCACACGAAGTATAAAATTTGATAAAGAAACAACACCCCTGATGAAGTTTTGAACTAAATTCGAAAATTTTAAATAAATATCAGGCCTCGAGCTAATCGTCATTACCATTATCATTAACATATTAGATTGCAGCTCAATTCAAAAATTGAACAAAGAAAATGAAAGCATGTATGGTTTGAAACTGGAACCCTAACAAGAAAAGAAACAAAATGGGTGTCTGCCAATTAAATTTCGATCAAATTAAGAAAAAGAAACTGATGCAAAAAACCCTAACCATCAAACAAAACACATGATTTAATTGATCAAATCCAGATAAGAAAAGCGATGATTAAATGGATCAAAAACCCTAACCAAAAAGCTCTGGCTGTAAAGAATTGCAATCGAGGAGTGAGGGCCTACCTTTGGGAAATTGAACGAGAGCAAAGGGTGAAGAAGGGGATGAATGATTAGAGCAAGCCTGCTGAATAACACGGACAAAAAAAATAAGTTAAGGCTCTGCTTTTGGTTTCGGATTCGAATTATCCACGGTTTTTATTAAACGGTACCCGTTTTATCACCACAGGTGATGCAACTCTCACTTCAACTATTTACTTCAACCATCAGACTGCAGTTACATTTCTCCTACTTATAAAGGAAGAAAGATTTTAAGTCTGAATCTCGGAAGTGACAAGTTCAAAATTACTTTATTTCTCCAACATCTTAGTATAAATATTAATTAATAAAATCTTTTTTGTCAATTAAAAGATGATGAAAAGACAAATTAGTCTTTTATCACACAAAAAAATGATGGGCAATAATGTAATTTCACAAGTCTAAATATTACTGTTTTTTATTGAAACCTCACATACAGGTGGTGATGTGAAAATACCTCCTCTAACTTATCAATCTTTAACATTGATATCTTTAGCTCGTAAAGGTATGAGTAACTTTTATGTTTTTGGCTCAAACATTTCAAACTATTTTTTATATACATAAAGTTTATTGTAATTTTGTATTACAGTCTAGTGGTATCCTCTTTACTTGTAAGTGAGAGGTCTTAGGTTCGATTCTCACCAAAGACGAATTTGAACCACATTATTCCTAGCCAATTGTAAGGCTAAGTCTACTCCCCTCTCTCTTAGTGTAGATACTATCGTTTATTCAAAAAATTTGTTTAGTATGAAGGAATGGTTTTGGAGACTTATGTTTACTTTCGTTCTCTGTGTTAACTTGGCTATCTTCTGTTTAACTTTTTTTTAAGACGGAAATTGAAATTATGTTCCCCTATCTTCTTTTGTTTTCTAAAGAAAATTGCAAGTGTGAAGACTTAGTCTTCTTTTGGTCTCTAAATAAACTGCAAGTGTGATACTTAATTTACACAGGGTTTCAATCATTAAAAAAAATGAAAGGACGTTTATGTTACAATTATCTTGCGTTGCTCCCGAATTTGCTTGATTGACGTAGAATTGGCTACACTTAATGACCTAATTGTGGCAGTCTGTCTGAAATTGTAAAGGCGTGTGTTGAACAATACAAAAATCACATTAAAAAGTTACAAAACAATGTAATGAATGGTCACAATGTTATAAATAGGTAAAAATGAGAGAGAGGACATTTGTTAGAGATTGATGTGGAACAGGAGCTGTGACAGTCCGTCCCGAATGTATATTATTTTATCCTCGATAGCGTGGAAATTCCTTTTATACCCTTGAGCGTTGTGTGATGTCGTGTGGTTTGAGTTTTGGATGTGGACCAAATAGGTTAGGTTCTAATTGTTTGGACCCAATTAGAACTAAGTTATCTTTGTTTTTCATTGGTAACAAGCTGGACCACACCCACACACACACACACACACCACTCACATGTACCCTCCCTCTCCTCCCTCTCTCGGATTTTCTTGCCATTTCCATACAACCTGTACGGACAACCCTCAAAACCCTTTCAAACGTCACGGATCAAGGTCGTGATTGGTGTTTTTGGACTCCTTGCAAGCTTAGGAGTCGAATGGTGGTGGTGGTTGGACGTGAAAACCTCGAAAACCCGGGAACCCAGAATCTCAGATTGTGAGTATTGTTCATGCAGTCGTAATTGTGGGCTTTTCAGCGAGTTTTAAGGTTCTAGGAAGCTTTAGGACATCTTCACGAAGCTCGGGGAAGAAAGTTGGAGTGTTTTGGACGTCGGGAAGCTTAGTTTGGCGAGTTTCAAATTTTGGCCGGATTATCGAGGTTTCTCCGGCAAGATTTCGTGGATTTTAGGGTAAGGTTTTGTTCTACTCGTTGTAAGCTTCATTTTGGTACAAATTTCATGAATTTTGGTTGAGAAATGAAGAAGATATTGAAGTTCTAAGATTTTTCCAGTTTTCGGCAATCGCAGTGGCACCGGCGCCGGACTCCGACAAACCAAGGAAGAAGGAGGAGAATATTCCATCAAAGTTGACGGAATATTCTAACGTCATCAGGTAATTCTAACGGTATATGCTGTTTTTAACAGAATATTCTCTAACTCCGTTAGGGAATCCGTTTGGTGTGCAAGGCACGTGCCTACACGTGAGCCAGCGTGTGAGGGCGCGTGGGTGCTCGGAAAAATTTTCAAAAATATGGGGATGTTCCTGAGGTTGAGTAGGTCATGGTAGTATATTCAAATACCCCATTTGAGCAATGTGTAAGAAGTTATTTCCTAGTTTTGTGTATGTGCTTTAAATAAAGTTTATTTAGTTATTTGGTATATAGGTGAGACCTATCCTGAGGACGAGCGCCATCAATCGAGGCTCGGGAGGTATGACCTTTCGACATATTAGTAAGTGGGCTTTTGGTTTTCTGTATATACCTATATACTTGAGATTTTTTCCAGAAAATAAATTTGCATGATTATACATTTTGAAATGCCATGCAAAGTATCTACCTATTTTATTTATGCATTAGTAGTTACATATATTTATGATTGGTGCTGCGGAAGCACAAGTAAGTGTCAAGTAAGTTCATAAATTAAAGATATGAGATTGCTTTAGTTATGCTAGATATGATGTGTTGCATTGAAAGCTCATAAACCTGCACCCCAGTGTTAGTGCTCCCACCTAGAGTTAGGGCACAGTCCTTTACGTGATGTTCAACCCCCGCACCATATGCTTACCTTGGATCCAAGTTAGGTGCACAGGCTTGTTGTACAGACCACTTTAGGTGGTTCCGACTCGTAGGTGACCCGCAATCATTCGCACAGCCTTCACGTGATCATAACACTAGAGCATATTTATTTTACACCTAGTCTTGTCGTACAAACCACTTTAGGTGGTTCTGACTCGTGTACAAGATTTGATATGATTGAGATTGGTTATGAGCTATATACTTAGCCATGTAGGTAACATTAGGTGGATCCAGCTGATATGATATCTGGCATTGATATATTTTAACTGGATTACTTATAGCATTTCATTGAGATACTTTGGCATGGTATATTTCTATGGATTTTCATCCTGAGCATGATTTCTATTATAGCATATATTATTTTTTGGGAAATTATACAGGTTTTACAGCGAGGGGTTAACACTTTTGATAAATGAAATGATTTTGAAAAGCTTTGTTGTGACATCCCACATCGCCCAGGGGAGTGATCCTTAAATGTATATTCCCATCCTTACCTAACACGAGGCCTTTGGGGAGCTCATTGGCTTCGGGTTCCATCGGAACTCTGAAGTTAAGCGAGTAGCGTGCGAAAGCAATCCTATGATGGGTGACCCACTGGGAAGTTGTTTGTGAGTTCCCAAAAACAAAACCGTGAGGGCGTAGTCGGGGCCCAAAGCGGACAATATCGTGCTACGGTGGTGGAGCGGGCCTGGGATGTGATGGACCCCGGGTCGGGATGTGACATTTGTTTTTGCCCACTCACACTTTCTGTTTTGCGCCCCTCTAGGTTTTAGGTAGAAGTGCTTTAGTGGCTCACAGAGATTTTGACGGTGGTTCTGATAGAACATCACAAATGTAGGATCACCTTTGGGTGTTGTATAATTAGTACTTGTCCAGTCGGACTGCACTTAGGCTATTTATGCTCTAATTTTGTATTTCACACTTAATCTCTCACTAACACCTTATCTTAGCTAGTACTTTTAGTAGTTTGGTTTTTATTCACTTGTATTTCTCCATATCATTATTGCTTCTGCACTGTGCACATGGTTACGTCACTCTCACGTGACGGCCAGCATGCCTCGATTTTGGTCGGGGTGTGTCAGGAGCAATGTGTCAAACTGTTCATAATCTTAACTGTATTAGACAATTGACGAGTCAATTTCATATTATATATTTAACCCTATTTTAGTATATTTTGGTTATTATTTTGGAAGAATTTTGATATTTTGAATTGTATTTTCAATATAGGATTTTCGACTTCCTCTGGAGCAAAACATAATCAAATAGACAAATTTTGGAGTAATTCTAGTTGGAGGACATTTGTATGTCAATTAGCTTGATCGTATCAAAATATCAGATTTTTCTACCAAACGATGATTTTCTGGCAATAAAATAAAGGAGCAGTGCACGATGTTGAAATCGTGACGTTTTGGCTTGAATTGCATTTTTAGAGCCCAAAATGATCTCGGATGGTTTCATGGCCTTCTGAAGATGTGTTCAGAACGTCCCGATCTTCAAAATAAGCTATTATGGGCTGGATTTAGAGGACATCTGAGGCTAAAACATAGCTGGACAAGTACTTAGCAGATTATCCTAGCTTAATTAGGACTTTATTTTCTAAGATATTTTATTATTATTCTTAGTTTCCTAGTTGGAATAAAAGACCTGGTTTTTAGGGATTTTGCAATGGCATAGTAGGTTATATTGCTTTGCCGTTCTTAGTTTTTGGCTACGCTTGCTTTTATGAAACTTTGGAGACAGAGAGAATTGCTAGGGTTCTTGAAGTTTTTCTACTTTAAGGTGTTTTCAATCATTTTCTTAATAATATTTTCTATGATTTTAATTATGAATATGCATAACTAATTTATTTTGCTAGTGCTAAGTCTTGAGCCTTAGCATGAATACGTGATTTTTATTTAATTGCTTATGATTGATTGCATGCACATTTGAATTATTAATCACCGTGATTAAAACTATTTAATTATCTTAATGTTTGATCACCATTAGGATATTTTCATTTAAGATGAACACCATGTCTTAAGTGTTGCATGGGTTTTCAAAGGGTTTTCATAAAGCATAATGAGTCTCTCATGTTCAGATTTGATCCGAACGTCTTGACAGGTTACATGTTAGATATACGTTCTATATTGGAGGTTCCAAGTAGAATATAAATTAGAAAAACCTAAGCTTCAATGTGGCATGTGTAGATCATAAGTAATTGGTAAAAGTTCATAGGATTGCTAGGTGATGGTGGAACCCTAGTTCTTTCTTAATTTGATTTCTCCAAAACTTTTCTTTTTTCTTCATCTTTAATATTGCAGATTAGTTTTTTTTTATTAGTTAAATTCATTTTTATTAAATTAGGTCATAAAAATCAATCATCTCAAATTTCTATTTTACAATAATCAATTGGAATTTGGTTTGCTTCGAATTATTTAATAATCTCTGTGGAG